AAAATCAGAGAATATAGTGATACGTATTGTAGATGAAGGTTATAAAAATGGTTGCATATTTGAAACCCCTGGGAATCATAGATAGTCGTCCTAAGAAATAAATGGTTAACTGCAACATTTGTGCACTTCGACAAAAGATTCAGTTCTTTTACTCTGTAAAAAAAAGAGGTACCTACATGAAGAAAACATCAGTGGATTGCCAAAACCGATCTGGATTTTAATTGTAGCCTAGAAGTTCTGCGTTAAATTCTGAAATATATTGGGTTTTCTTACAAGGAGTGTCAAAGTAACAGGCTTTAATCGAACACAAGCACACATTGCAGTAAAACGAGAAAACAACTTGGCAATTATAAAAGAAAAAGATTTATCAAAAATTACGATTACTATATTGTAATCTTCAATGTAGAATAAACTCATTGTCTACGAATTATACGCCTTTCTTTACCTTTTCTGGGGTAATAAAAGTAAAAAAGAAATCCTACTATCAAAATCATTTGTCTCACTACACAGGGTTGCTACGTGCACGATCGCAGCGCCCTCAATTTTTTTCATGACTTTATAGACAGACTACCATTTTGCTTAAATATTATGTATATGTCACGAACTAACGAATGTAATTTAGTGAATCGGCGCAAAAAAAAATTTATGCGATATAATAGAAATCGGCATTTTTCTGTGGGCAAACACTTTGTAGTAGCCGCTACCCCCTCCCGACACGCTACACATTTTTACGTCCTGTGTTGTAATGTTATGTTTCACGGCGGGCTTTTCTGCAACTCGATACTCAGTGCCTATTTTGCATGACACGGGGTTGCTTTAGTCCTGCCACCCCAGCTCCTCCAGGAAGCCCGTAAGATCTCGAACTCTGCCGCATGCTTCCACTAGTATCCTTGGGCTTCATAGATATGTAGTCCTTTTGTCTTAATAGGCTCCTGCATTCCAGTATCACATGAGTGCACAAGCGCAAGAGGAGACAATCTCCTCAGTCTCCATGCACGCCCTGCTCATAGGACTGTCAGAATAACCCATGTTATATAGGTGTTTGTTAAAGTTTCCATGTCCAGTAAGTATACCTACTATTTGCCTTAGAGTCCTGTTGCTTCAATCCATTTAATTTTAATATTAGGATCATACGGAAAACTAAAACAAAAATTACAGTATAATTCAATATAAAATCAATTATCCTTTCTTCTGCTTTCAAAAACGATATTTTTTTAATTGGGTAAAAAAATCGCATTGTACAGCACTATTCTCCATTTTTGACATAAAAAATGATAATTTGTCCTCCAACAAATTGACCTTGAATTATACATCGATGGTTTTACAAGCACAGCAAATTTGGACTGTCAAATTAAAGCCGCAATGGAAAGCTATTACTGGACACATGACCGTTTTGATAAAAATAATACGGAGCAACAAAACTAATGATTTTTAATTCAAAATAGATATATCAAGGCAAATAGTTACTTACCGATGGAAGGAAATACCTCGACTATAAGATCCAACCATATTGGTGGTGTTATAGCAGGTAATTATCGAACAACGCATCATTTTAAATTTCGTCCAACACCGATTGCGATCGAAAGTGGACTGAGCCTCGCGGCGAGCAATGAAGCTGTCTAGACGTCGTTTCGGCACGCGAAGTACGTATACCTTTTCCTTCTAACTAGATATATTTCTGTGATGTCAACCCTCTCTCGACCTGACATCCCCTCAGGATGCAGGCCATACAAATTGTTACGGGCATCCAGTGTTACCAACTCCCAACAAAATAAAACCCTAAAACCAAATTCAAATAACCCTAAATAGCCCTGAATGGTGTAATCATAAGCCCCAAAAAAAGCCCTGTCCTACTTGTATAGTTTAAAAAATCTGTTTTATTAAGGTGATTAAAAAAGACCTCAATTTTATTTTCTAATAATGTTTATGGTATTAATTACTTGAAACGCATTCAATTAATTTTGGTAATCTAAAAAAGGTGACTATTTGTCTTTTTTTAGATGAATAAAAACGTACTCTAATACACTAAACTCTTCTGTCTTTTCTACTATTTCACTTAGAAGAGAGGGGCCAAGCACATTTTGTATAATCATGGAACATTTTATGCGAAATAGACTTAAATACTTTAAAGCATCCGATGACGAATCTATTTGATGAACGAAGCCAGAAAGCATACTATGTTTTATGACTAAAACCAATCTAAAAAAAGTAATAAACCATGACACGAAAATAAAACTACAGAAAATGCAAATAGATTAAAAAATGTCATATTGAAGCCATAGGAATATACTACATAGGTAACCTGCAGACATACACACACGTCCAGCTAAACATTTGCTTCTATATAATGAACAATTGGTACCTGTTTTGTCAAATAATTTAACGTCTCATTCATTGTCGAATTCGAAGAGAAAATAAAGTTCTTTTGAATGTCGTAAACAATGTTGGTTAATCTATTTTAAACCAAATAAAAAGATTTACTGGGTAATTTAGACATTACCTGATTTTTTTATTATTAATTTATTGAATTTTTTTAGCACTAAAATTAGCCCTAAATTTTCTTGAGCCCTAAAAAAAGCCCAATCAGTTTATTTTCGCCCTAAATTTGGGGCTAAAAGCTCTAAGTTGGTAAGCCTGTGGGCATCAAATAGTACCCTTCTGGTGGTATGTGATGCTCCCCTCCCCGCCTTCCACACGCCGACCCTTCAGGTCATACCCCGTCCGATCTGGCTGATCGCTCCCTTCAGGGAATCAGCTGTATTATAATCCGATGAACCGAGCCCCCCGGGGTTAACGGCTAACATCTCGATGTCACGTAGGTGAATAGTGACCTCTGCGCCGCCCCCCCGCTTCATCCCAGTTTAAAAAGCATAGTTTCGTGGAAGGTCGCATAAATAGTAAAAAAATTAACAAATATCCTAATTAGATGCGTTGACAATGGGCGAAATGCAGATTGCAGTACGCATTCTTGTACACAGCACTCACGGATAGTTGATTGTTATTAGTAGTAGTGCGTGAGTGGGCTGGCTGCAAGAGACATGTTCATACAAATATCGATTCAAAGTGAAAACGAATAATATATGAGAAAATACACAATTAGATTAGCAACGTTTTAAAAAAAAAAAGTATCGATGACGCAACTTTACGTAGTAAATAAAAAGTTTATAAAATTTGCATAATAATAATACTGAAATAATGTTTTATACTACTTAGTCTTTTCACAAACCTTTATCATCAATTGGCTTCTTATTAATTTATTTCCCATTACAAACACAAACAAACAACGTTACGTTCTATATTGTTTTTTAAGTTTCAAAAGGGACCTCATAATTTGTGAATACTTGATAAAGATAGCATATTTTTAAAACAACAACAACTAAAGGTTTGAACTTCAATATTTTTTTCAATTAACAATATTGAAGTGCAAGCCTTATTATTTTTACATAGATTTTATTTTCTGATACCTATTTAAAAAAAGTTCTTATAATGATACCAAGAAGTATGTATTTAATAAGTGACCTCAATTTTAAACATACGCATTCTAATAAAACAAAAACATCTACCTATGTCATTTTTCATCACATGACATTACATTTATTAAATCATCTTTGAGTTGGCTGTATTTTAATTTAGTTAAAATTATAAGTTTTTTTATGTTTAGTAATATAATTTACAAATTCGAGGAGTGATTAAGAGACAAAAATGTCATTAGATAAGAATAAGATATTGAGTGAATTAGGAAGTGTTATGAACCAACTACAAAGTGCTGACTGGTAAGTAGACAGATCAAATGGACGTAGTTATGCAAACCAGTAGGCCAATTCTACTAATGTTTACGTAATAATCGCATCTCAATAGACTTGTATTTTGCTATTACATTATCTACCAAAAGGCCAATTATTATACATCTGTCACCTTTGATTTGTGAGGAAGACATAGCACTAGTAATATTTGACTTTAGGTAGATAGAACGATGGCAAAATGCAAATTGTTAAGATTCTATTGAGATGCGTGTACTACATTGCCCCCCTTACTCTCGAGCGCAATCGCTACCAATTGACATTTCAAGTATTTAAAAAAGAAACATTAGTTACCGACTTCATACTAGATGTCGCTACGGTACTTCATTGATTTCTCCATGACAACACTTACGGTTTTCTTTCATGTATAAAAGTAAATTGGTTTTCAAAACTCAATAAACAACTAATATTCTATCTGAACTTTTTCGTATTTGTATTGATATATAAGTTTCGAACTTTGAAAATTTGAGTTGTTTAATATGTTAGTTAAAAGGAACGATAATAACTGTCTTTGATCCATTCGTTTCCTGCAAAAATCAACTTTTACTAGAGTCGCCATCTTGTGGAGGAGCTTTTTGGTGCTTTCTTTTTATTTTTAAATACTTCCTCATTGTGTCGTTACGTACTCTTGATTGGGTACACTAGCGTCAGTATGCTAGTGAACCAATAAAGAGTGCGGAACGGCATAATTTCAATGTCGATCGGTCGCAATTGCGTTCGAGAGTAAGGGCCCAGATCCAACTCGCATGATGATATTTTTGAGAAAATGGATTTTTGTTTAAATGTTGTACTAACAAATGGTATTATTATGATTATAAAAATCAATATATATAATGTGAAGTTATATAAATACAGTAAATATAGTGGTATACACAAAAATACAATGTTGATAACGATATTATTGCTATTTCTAAAGAGTTTTTATTTTTAGCTATTTTTGGAGCTAAAAGTTTTTTAATCACCTTAATCTTCACAGAACCTATAGAATGTTTATTTTTAGACTTCTCTGCATATATAGTTAACTCTATTTTGACAAATTTGTGGGTTAGATCGGGTTTGCATAACTATTTACTTAAAAATAGTAAAAAAAACTAAAACGTATTCACAATAGAGCAACTTTTTAAATAGATGTTACGCCTTTGCAGTGGTTGTATGGGAAAATTATTTTCGAATTCGGGTCAAGGAAACCAAAACAATACAATGGGCTCCTATTTGCCTACTTGCGGTGGATGCAGACGCGGATGCTGTCACGGGCATGGCTATGGACACGCTATGCCCAACGCTGGCGAACCATATCCAGGGAATATTAACAGGCCCTGCATGGGTCATTGCAATCCACCAAAACTTTACGCAGACACTTATAGCTACTTAAACAACCATCTTATGCAACCGGTTGTGCAAGAGGTTTACAATGACTTGAAAACTATTACGCCGGCGAATACCATCATGAATAATCCAATGGCAAGCAAAATGGGACTTGAACAAAACGTTACTGGGATGAACATGATGCAAAACAACGATAACCATCCGACTGCAGGCAACATTCCAAATGAAATACCGAATATGTCTGAAAATATGAACTCTATGTCAATACAACAAACACATCAACCGATGAACAATATGGGTGGCATGGGACCAGAAATTGCCAAAATGATTTTAGGAGATAGCGGGCCTAAGCAAAATAATCAACAAATTCCTGTACAAGGAAGACAGTTGGAAGCATCCATGATATCTAATGTACGTCAGTCACCACAAGGCAACATGGGAGTTACTGGGATGAATCCGAGCGGTCAAATGTATACCGACGTTAATCAAGGATACACATCAAATCAAAATCAGTCTACAGCTAATATGAATCAAACTCAATACCAGCAACCTACACCACAACAGTTCATTCCAATCCCCCATTCTGCAACGAATACCAATAACAATTTTATACCTCAAAATCAGGAGAATATGCCGATGAGAAATACAGGCAATTCAGCTGCTCAACAAATGGGAGAGTCGAATCAACGTGCATATGCGCAACACACTCAAGGTGTCATGAAATTTAATCAGATGTTCCCAGGTGTCATGCAAGGAGGAGATCTTGGGTTTGATCCAATGGCTATTGCTATACAAATGAATCCTGCAAATCAACAAAAAGCAGCAATGGAAACTATGCAGAAGTTAATGAACGGTACTCCAATAAATAAAGCTGAAAATTTGTCCGCACAACCTCCAGCCAATATTGCTCAACCGCCGTTTACACCAACTCCCCAAAATCAGAACTATTTATCAAACAACCAACAATTCTCAAATCAACCGACCGTTTCACCTAGTCAAAACTTAAATCAACAAATAATACCCATGCAACAACAAATTGAAAATACAAACGCAGTAAACAATCCTATTACGACGACCCAGCATAGTCCTGTTCCACAGCACCAACAGCAAATTTATTCAGTTGTCACTGATTCTACTCAACAACATGCGTATCAAAAACCCTCAGACCTACAGAATCAACAGATGCCTGAATCAGGAATACCAACGACTCAACCTGTTAACCTAGGTATAAACAATCCAAATACTCAGATGCAAGTACAACCAGCACCAACGCAATATCAATCTCCGGAAACACAACAAATCACAAAGGACCCTATACTCCCAGTCGATACGTCTAGAAATCAGCCATCTTACTATGTTAAACCTAAGAGCCGTTATGAGTTTAACACTCTTGGGCAACCAGTGCAAATGTTGCCTGCACAGGTATTCCACGAACCTGAACCACGCCTGCCACAAACGCTGTCTCCTCAACCTATACCATCAAAATTACGAAACAATCAAAATAATTACAGCAATGTAAAGTCAACAGTGAGTAAAACATCCATTATCGGAAAAGGACACATTCCAAGAGCTGTAAGCAAAAGCCAATTGCAACATCTTTATAATCAATACAAGGGTTCGCAGTCATTCACGCAACAAAACGTTACGTCTCCCGTTCAGGCACCTACACATTCAGATGGGAAATTGAACATTGTACAACCAAATACACGCCCCCAACAATTGATTCCAGTAGAGAAATTCGGAGGCGATAATAATGCAAATAATGTTTCAAATAATATTCAAATACCAGCGAAAGTGCAAAAAGATATGGAACAAGTAGGAGATGTTCTGCCTTCTAACAAACCTAACGAAGTCATCGAGCCTGCAAAGGTAAATACCCACCTCAAGTTCTTCACTTTTTTATATATTTCTTATATATATTTCTTATATATTTATATCATGATGTTTAGTTAAAGCGGAAACAGTTTTGTGTCGTATTGTGCGACAAAAGCATATTGGTATCATTACAAAACAAAAATGAAGGTTTAACGAATTTCGTTGTTACGAAATAGAAGTTTTGGGTTAAAACAGTAGGTAAATATGTCATGGGAATTGTGTTATGGATCTATTGGTAATAAAGTCATGGGAAATATACGTGCTACACGTAAACCTTTGTATGGCAAGGCCTGCCATACAAAGGTTATAAAAAATGCCCAAGTGCTAATAAAAATAAAAATATAAAAGTTATATTTTTACATAAGGTGCAAGAGACATGTATTTTACAACTTCTTTCAAACTATTGACTTTGAGAATAATGGTTTTAGGAACCTTAATGTAATTTTAAAGAAATAGTTCCTCCATATGTATAGGTTTTATTTAACGCTCCTGTAAATAAATATAACTTTCATAGGGTTCATTCAGTTTAGTGCTAAAAATGGAATACTACCCCTTAATACAGCGTTGCGTTTGAAAATTGCTATCGTGTGAACATGGGAATGCATTTGTTCTATTTGAACGATTTTTAATGGACATTAAAAAAACTCTCGTGCAAATGAGGGCTCAGGGTTCCGTTTTTGCTATTTGGCTATAAAATACTAAAAAAGGAGTCAGATTCTCAGTTTCGCTATTTAAAAGTAGCAAAACAAATATGTTATTCCTCATATCTTTATATACCTATTATTTGGATGTCATCGTTAATTCATAGTGTATACGACATTAACGACGGTCGTATCTAAATTATTGATCGAATTGTTAAAGGCGACGCCAACAATCCCAACTCGTCAGGCGAAATTGAGGAATGGTTTGCAAGATGTGGTTTATACCTCATACCCCTCATCGGCGGCATGGTCGTTTCACGGAGCAAACGACTACCGACCTGTTCCAGCGAGATACCGTTTCCGTGAATTCAAATAAAAATAGGCAGAGTGACAGTGATGAAATTTGAAAAAATGAAAGTGTAGTGTTATATTCTTTTTTGTACTAATGTTGGACAAAGTTGTGAACAAGATAATTTATTTTGAAATTGAGTATATAAATTGCTTTCTATACTGTATCCTAAGCTATAAAAAAAGAAGGAATAAAAAGGGATAAGAATTCAATACTTGTTACTTATTTGGTTCACATATAAGGGCGCGTTCACATATAACGTACGTTTTTACAGGATCCTTTTTAACGAATCCGCCGCTACTGGAGTTGTATTCACACAGCATTTAAAAAATCCTTGTTCACGTATTCGGCGCGTACTGGAGATAGTATTCACACAGCATTTACGCTACTGCACTTTCGTTCTTTCGTGCAGGATCAGAGTACTGGATCCGGAATACTGTATTGTATATGAACTGGCTCATACAACTACATACGCTCATAACTGTAAAACGGATTGCTGATTATTTTGTCGGATCGGAATTTTCTACTGGATCCAGAATACTGTATGTGTGAACTCGTTCATACAACTACATACGCTAATAGCATGCACGTTTAAACGGACCTGTAAAACGAACGTTATATGTGAACGCGCCCTAAGTATTGAAAAAGATTAACCGACTTCAAAAACGTATACCTATAGTTATAGGCATACATACGTTAATGAAAATTCGTGGAAGTCTGGCGGAGATTTTGTGTATGTGGCGACTGATACATAGCGACATCTAATACATCGCAGTAACATCGCCACAACAATCGATAGCGAGAAGACTAGCATCGTCACAGCCATCGATAGCAAGACGAACTGCAATAAGTTTCAACAGCAAGTAACGAGATGGCGCTGTACCAATTCAAGCAGCGTAAATTAATAACTACAAAACATTTAGAACAAAGAAACCTACATCACACAGAATAAGTTTAATTACCAATTAACATAAATAGAACGTCCAACCTACATCGGTTGGACCGCGGTCCCCGGGCTAACAACACCTAGCTCGGAGGGAGACAATTATCCTTTAGTCTCCCTGGCCAGTTGTCTCCATCACCACAGTAGGGACTCCAACCTCCAACCTTACGGTTCCTAAATGTAGATTGCAACTCTAGGGCCAATGTAGTACCCCGCCAAAGTCGAGCCAAAAGACAAATGAGGGGCAAGCGAATTGAAACCTGTTCAGCTTTCTAGTCATGTACATTTCTGATATGGTATTTGGGATTATTCCCAGTCTTCTGAACGGTACTCAGATTGGTAAGAGCAGAGGGAATTTTTCTCAATCCTCTGAATAATACGTTTGGTAGGACGAGCGGAAATACTTTTTCCCAGAGGTAGTTCTTTGAATGTTTATTTTTATTACCTTGACTTAAACCGAATTATATACGTGATTTTGTACTAAGAAACGTTTGTTGTGGAGTCTGTCACATAAAAGTTGCAATAGAAATTATGCTATAGGCATAATTTCTAACAGAAAACTCGATTTATTGTATCACAACAACAGCGGAACCCTCCAAACACACTCGTAAATAGTGAAATTTGTTCAGTTCACCAATCTCATTATTACTATGATCAGTTCTTCTGGGTTATTTAGGTATTATTTCCTGAAATAATAGGCAAAGAATTGTTTCATACACTACTTTATCTTCACTCGTAGGAAAAATTGAAATTAAACAAAGTAGGTAGGTAATTTACGCGTGTGCCATTTTTTTCACAGTTCTAACTGCGTATGCGTGCGCCTTTTTTTCATATTCAGCCTAAACCATAGACTAGTTTAATGAATAAAAAAAGATAACGGTACTATAAAGTTTTATTTTAAGTTTATTGTATGTGTATGCGTTTATAAAGTGCGTATGTATAGAATTGTCTTTGAATTCGTAGTTCGAATTTTTCGATTTGAGTGTAGATAAATTAATTAATCTATCTATTTATACTATAATAAAAACATAACTGATCGATGTCTGTACATTGAAAATATATGAAAAAAAACTGTTATGAGGGACATTTATAAGCGAAATAGAACATAAAACAATGATTTTTAAATTTTTTGTCTGTCTGATCGTTTGTCTGTGCGTTTGTGCACTCTAATCTCAGAAACGGCTGAACCAATTTATATGCAGTTTTCACTATTATATTGCGGTATTCTTCCGTTAACATTTAGTGTAAGATTTATTTCAATCGGTTCACAAATAAAAGAGTTATGTCAATTTGAAGTGACGCGTTCGTCAAAATTGGTATGAAATATTAACTGTTATATTAAGTTTTCGTCTTTGATATATTGATCATCATCATTAACTCTTTCATAGCCAAATTGCAGGGCCTCAGACCTTTGTTTAATAATTTTTGGTCACCCATCCCGTGACGACTCTTGCCTAAATTGCATAGCAATAACGATCGTAATCAGCGGCGCTTATCCGTAGCGCCACCAAGCTACGAATTAATATTGTCTATAAAATGATAATTTGTATGATGACAATTAAAAAAAATAGTATCCAAATTTTGGATACTCTAAAGTGGATTTCATTTTATTGACTAATCATATTAAATAGGGTTTAGACATGTGGTATACGATCACGTGAGTAGGAGAACAAGCGAAAAGAGCCATCCGATGATGTAATTAAGCATCGAGTAGTTTACAGTGAACGCATATTTTTATCAGATTAGGTTCACGTCGTTGGGGCCAGTGGAGGTGGTTGGCAGCCGCCCCCGCATTGCACGGTTTCGTCTGTCTGGGAGAGGCTCTCAATTTACCCGAGCCTCTCCAATTTTCTATCTGCGAGGGGACAAATGGTCCAATAACTGAGTGTCCTGGTGACTCGGCCATAGCTTGCCGGTTTTCATCTCCCATGAGAGGGTGTAGCGTACGGGTTTTGGCGGGTAGGCCTTAGGGGACTCACTGGGCAATTCACTGTCAGGTTCACGGAGGAGAATCCTACTGTTACTTGCCAGGTAACAGGGACAATGTCAGAAGCTTTTCTACGACGTTCAAAAAGTTAGATGCTCGTCAAATGAATTTAATAACGTAAAGACAACTCGAGTAATATATATTCTTTCCTGTTATTACTATTTTTCTGTTAATACTCTTTTTGTTTTCTTAATATACAAATTGCTGTAGGTACCTACCTCAAAGTTGGTATTTTCAGTCTTCGCTGGAAACACTGGTTTATTCAAAGGTCACCACACTCATATATTATTGCGCGCGTCTGAGGGTCGGTTCAGAGTAGCACAGGATGGGTGACCAAAAAAATATTATCTCAAGCTACTCCGAGCGTCGGAAGGCACGTTAAGCGATTGTTTTTGCAATCGTTAATATCCTCCAATCCGCATTGGGCCAGCATATGGGTTGTGGCCCATCTTCCTTAACCATCCACAAGGACAGCCTGAGCTCCTGCAGTTGCTGACGTAAAAAGGCTGATGATGATGATAAGAGCCGTTCAAATCTGACGAAAGCTCAGTTCAGCACCTCTCGGAAGTACTTTATTTTATTTTATTATTAAGTATGTGTTAGTAGACGATTTCCTTCGAGTGTGCGAAGTCGAAATTATAATATATATATTTTTTATATCAATAAATAAAACTCTACTTATCTTCCGTCAGACATGTAACGACCGACTTTTATTGACAAAGAAAGAAATCATACAGAAAGCGCTCGGTCTCGGGAGACACCTGAAAAACGCGAAGCGTATTTAACTGCCCATCGCGAGGCTCATCTAAATATATATAACCCAAAGGTGACTGACTGACTTAGTGATCTATCAACGCACAGCCCAAAGTACTGGACGGATCGGGCTGAAATTTGGCACGCATGTAGATGCTATGACGTAGGCGTCCGCTAAGAAAGAATTTTGATCAATTTTACCCCCAAAGGGATAAAATAGGGGATGAAAGTTTATATGAATCTTTGTCAATTTTAAAGCGATCGGACTGAGACTTTGTATGCATAAAACTACTATGATTTAGTTATCCCCTAAGAAAGGATTTTGATCATTTCTTCCTCCAAGAGGATAAAAAAGGGGACGCAAGTTTGTATGAAACTTTGGTTTGGTTTGGTTTGTATGAATCGGGATGAGACTTTGCATGCATAAAGCTACTATGACGTAGGCATCCCCTAGGAAAATATTTTGATAAATTCCACCCCTAAGCGGATAAAATTGGGGATGAAACTTTATTTCAGGTATTTTACTCGATATAAAGAATAATTTATCGAAATGCTGCTCAAAATTACTATACCACGCGGACGAAGTCGCGGGCAAAAGCTAGTGCATTATAAAGTTGAATCTGCATTTACCGTCAGGAACAATCTCTTGAGCTCTCGGAGAACTCATACAACAGGCGTTTGATCTTAGAAAACTTCTGAAGATCGCATAGCGCGTCTAACTGATGCGCGTATGAAACTTCCTTTGATAGAGAAATGCGCTTGGTCTCTGAAAGAGCTCGCAGTTTGCACAATGGAGATCGAAATTACTTTCGATTGTCGCCAACCCGTGTTGCCTTCATACTTCACAGGCGTACCGCAGAGATTTCACAGGGTATAATGAACGAGTTGTTTTCCCGCAAAACTTTGCCACAAAATTATAGCTTATGACGTCAGCGTCTGATGTAGCTTCCCGTAGGTCAGAATCGTACAGTAACTATCAGACAAGTAGTTTTTTCGGAAATTATTCGAAGGATTTAGAAACATAATAAAAATTTAAGTAACTTTAAGTAATATTAGCGTCGATTAGAAGCTATTATAATGTTTGCGTGAAACAATTCTAATTAACGTCAAATTGACGATATCGTTCATTCAATATGTTTCAAAAAAAACATCGCGGACGCAGCGTAAAGTTGCAGTGTAAAGTTTTTGAAAAATGACTACCTTACATAATTTACGCAATCGGAGTAAACTAACCATAGAAAGCTCCCGTTTAAAATGAAACTGTTCTCTGGTTCAGTGCGCGTAGCATTACAAAGTCGAGAAACGTTTTGTCTACAACGAACTTCTCTTTGAAACTTTCACACA